TAAAGTAGGTGAATGGATAAAAAACTGTGGTCCATCCGGACCCTGGAATATTATTCAGTGATAAAAAGAAATGTCAACTCATGGAGGAATCTTAAATGCATATTGCTAAATGAAAAAGGCCAATCTGAAAAGACTACATACTGTATGATTTTAACTATATGACATTTGGAAGAAGGAGGGTTTGAATAGGTGGGACATGGGATTTTTAGGGCAGTGAAGCTGTTCTGTATGATTCTGTAATGGTGGATGCATGTCACTATACATTTGTCAAAACTAGAATGTACAACACAAAGAGAACCCTAATGTAAATTATGGACTTTAATAGTGTTGCATAAACATTGGTTGTTCAGCAGTTGTAACAAATGTATCACACTGATGTAAGATGTTAATAATAAGGGAAACTGTATGTGTGTGGTATGGAGAAGGGGTACATAGGATTTTCTCTATTTTTCACCCAATTTTTCTATAAACCTGAAACTCTGAAAAAAATCCACTGTTTGAAAAAGCAGTGCTCAAATCCCCAGTAGCTGGGGCACCTGGGGGGTCTCATTTAGTTTAAGCATCTGACTCTTGATTTTGGCTCAGGTCATGATCTCACGGTTTGTGGGATTGAGCCCTGTGTCAGGCTGTGCACTGACAGCATGGAATGTGCTTGGGATTCTGTCTCTCCTGTATCTGCCTCTACCTGTCTCTCTCTCTCTCTCTGTCTCTCTCTGTCTCTCTCTCTCTCAAAACAGACAGACATTAAACAAAAAGAATAGTAACTGTCCTTCTCTATTAAAAAAAGAAAAGAAAAAGCAGTGCTTGATTAAAAAAGTGAAACACATGCACATGCTTATACATATACATTCCACCTGCTGCATAAAGCTGCTCTTATTTAATAAGTAGAGCACACCTAATATTTTTCTATGCTCTGTTTTTAAATGTATACATAACTCATGTGTTAACACAATGTTTTATTTGATATTTGAGGGCTTTTTCCCCCTCCCTCCTAAAGCCATTTATTGAGCGTGTACTGTTTGGCAAATACTCTTAGGTATTTTTCATTTAGTTTGAGGCAGATCCTATTTCCCCCACTGCACACGTGGAAAACCTCTGGCTCAGAGAAGTGACATGGCAAATCAGGTGCTTTAGTCTAGGCCCATTTGGCTCAAAAGCCTGTGTGCTATATAGACTTGGTAATTCACATAGACAGATTTTTTTGAGATTGCTAAAGTTTAGCCCCTAACATAAGTGTAAGTGCCTTTAGAGTGAAAATATTATTGAAGATTGTCTAGGTTTAAATTGGCTTTACTGTGTACTTTTGCTTTGTGTTTTCAATTAGGTTATATTACCTCTTTATGCTCTATAGTTTCCTTATGTGTTAAATGGAGATAGTAAATTGAAATTGTTGTGAGGATTAAATGAGTTAATATATGAAAAGCTCTTTGAACAGTGCCTGGTACAGAATATGAGTTACATAAATGTTACCTTATTAATTAGTAGCAGAATTTCATTTCATAGATAAAAGAAACTGAGACCCAAAGAAATGAAATTATTTTCTGAGTCATGTAACTTTCTAAAGTCACTTAGCTATTAAGTGGCAAAGTTGAGTTTTTTTTATTTCAAGGCCAGAATTTTATCTGCTGTTAATTGTTTTTGTTTGTTTGTTTTGTTTTGTTTTAAGAAAAACTCTTGACTCTGAGTTTGGTTTGGGACCAGGAGGCCTTTGTCCTTGATTAGTTGTATGGCCCTTAATATCTATAGTTCTTTTGTAAGCTGAGGGGTGGGTGGCGTTGGGCCAGACGATTTCTAAGTTGCTTTTACAGCACCAGCAGAACGTTGCTTTTATCATGGATTGTTGAACTGTGCTATAAGTCCTGAAGTTCCTCGAGCTGCTTGATGCATGCATAGGGTGGTTACTCTCTGTGCTAAATGACTGAGGAATGCTGTATTTTGACACTGGTGATCCACAGTTTCTCCACTAACATCACCTTTCTTTTTAATGTTTATTTTTTAGAGAGAGAGAGAGACAGAGCGAGCGAGCACAAGCAGGGGAGAGACAGAGAGAGAGAAGGAGAGCTAGAATCCAATGTAGTCTCCAGGCTCTGAGCTGTCAGCACAGAGCCCAATGTGGGGCCCAAACCCCCGAACCATGAGATCGTGACCTGAGCAGAAGTTGGACACTTAACTGACTGAGCCACCCAGGCGCCCAAACAATTTTTTTAATGTTTATTTTTGAGAGAGAGGGAGAGAGAGTGAGTGTGAGTGGGGAAGGGGCAGAGAGAGAGGGAGACACAGAATCCGAAGCAGGCTCCAGGCTCCAAGCTGTCAGCACAGAGCCCCATGTGGGGCTCCGACCCACGCACTGTGAGATCGTGACCTGAGTTGAAGTTGGACGCTTAACCGACTGAGCCACCCAGGCGCCCCAGCTTTTTCTCAGCATTCTTCCCTGCTTTCAGTCTACCATCTTAATATGGTTGAATTTTTGGCCTTACTTTTTTAGAGTGAAGCACATGAACTTTGTATCAGTTCTCAGCTGAACACATAGCAATCTTTTTTGGCTGCTGGATTCACAGCTAAATACTAAATGGTTGAATCTGCTAGAATGGTGGAGTAGGGTTGGGAATGGGAAATGGCCAGACTTAACTTGTGTAGTACGATCTGTATACAAAAGGATCTTTGAGACATATCTTACCATGGGATCATGTTTCTTAACTTCTTTGTATGAAAAGACCCTAAGAATTGTAGCATGTGTGTGTTCTCTCCTTTGTGTGTTATGTGTGATAAAGTAAACCCCATTGATGAGTTCAGTTACATAATCTTTTGTTTTTGTTTTTTTTTTAAATCAAGCTTCAGGTTATTTCAGGTGGATTTTGTGGAGTCAGGGAAGTTGGTTACAGGATATGAATAGTTTTGCATGTAGGTCACAGCTGAGTATCATTTGACTAAAATTGTGGGTTTGTTTTTTAATGTGCAGTATTGGGGAGTGTTATGTTACACCTATAACTTTCCTAGTCCCAAAAATTCAAAAAGGATTTGTTTTTCTTTAAGAGAACAACTGATAGTATTCGGAAACTGTTACAGGCAAAAGTATGGGGTGGGGGAAGTTCCTTATTTAAAGGAAATTTAAAGGAAAGATATTGAGATGAAGAGGAAGCTATTTTTTGTGTTTATTTTGTGGTGTGTAAATAATTTCTGATATCCCTGATATCCACGTAGGTAATCATGTGTTCTGTTTTGATAGTTACTGTCTGTTTTTTTTTTTTT